GTATATTAAGTTACAATTTAAGCATGTTAATGCTATAAATTCTAAAATTGAGGGGCTATGTTAAAGTTCTGGTGTATGTATGTCTTAATGTATTCTAGTATATCTATGACTTTTGTTGTCTACTCTCTCTCTCTGGTCTGCTCTGGTAATAACGATGGTGCCTAATTTATAATGTTCATCATTTTAAATCCTCAAAAGCAACTACCTAGGCAAAGAACTAAACAGCTACCTAGGCGGCCTTTCTAACGTCGTGGCACCAATGACCGACAAGAACCAATGACCGACAAGAACCAATGACCGACACTTTATTTTTTGATTCAATAAAATAAGAGTAAGAAATCGATTTCTTAATATGGCAACACTGTACCATCGATAGCACACTTTTGACTGCCTCCCATTGACATTTAAGCAAAATCCGCCATTTTGTTTTGAAAATGGCGGTTTAACAACTGATTGCGGCTGGAGTACCGGTGAAAATAACAACATTTCTTAGTGAAATCCTTAAGGAAGTGAGTACATTTTTTGTTAATTATACTACTGTATTGTAACTTAGTTGAATTTTATCTTTTTCACGAGTTACTATAAGAATTATACGATCCATTTTTGTTATAACGAAATTTTAAGGTTATTTTGATATTAGTAAAATGTTGGTGTCGATCACTGGTTTTCAAAAACTGACTTTTCCAATAATCGACACGTGTCGATAGTATTTTTTGAAAATTTTTCATTTGACAACCGAATATAGTTCTTATTACTTTGAGCATTTAATAGATATTTGAAGTAAACTAATCATAGTCGAGCTACCAGTAATCGACAAGTGTCGATTATTGGGGAATAATATATGTCGATGATTGGTTCTTAGAGATGGCTCCGAGAAAAAAATATTCTCCCGAGCAGTTAGAAAAAGCTGTAGAAGCTGTTAAAAATGGCGAAAAGATTGCAGTTGCTGCGAAACGTTTCGGAGTACCTAGGATTACGCTCCATGATAAAATTTCGGGAAAAACAACAATGGGTTGCACTATGGCCGAGCACAGTTTTAACTAAAGGGGAGGGGGACATTTTCGAAAAGTGGATATTAGCTTTATATGAAAGACATATTCCATTGACAAAAGATTCGCTATTAGACAGTGTGCAAAAAATAATAATTGATCAAAACAGACCACAGAGAGATTCAGAGAAAGACAGAAACAGAGAGATCAACTGATTGTTATATAGTTATAATAATTCATAATTTTAACGAAAATGGTTAGGAAACATTGTTTCCAAATAGATATTTGATTACGAACTGAAAGTGTGATTTGATTACTAATAAATATTTAATAATTAGTTGAGTAAGAATAACTTTACAGTAAATATTGTTGATTTTTGCAATTTAAAGTTTTTGAGAATTATTTGTTACCTATATTGACCTTTTTTATTATAGTTACAAAAGTTTTTATGTGTGTATTTGTATGAATAATACACTTTAGATATGGATGTTGTACTGTGGACAATAAAATAATAGATACTTATTAAACAGTTAATTTTATTTTAATGACCCACTAAGCAGGTGGTGATTTGGCAGATACACATTATAGTCAACAGTCGATAACTGGGTGTCGGTAAGTGGCAGCTGTCGATGACTGGGTGTTGACTACTGGTGATTCGGTGTCGATGATTGGAGATTTATATACTTTTTCATTTTTTGGGATTTTTTTCTAGTCTGTGTATAGTTAATAAAAATAATACATCCTATTCTTATCTCAAGAATATACCATACCATACTCAATCGTTACTTTTGGTTTAAAGATGACTAAATGACCTTTAATCTTATTAAGAAGCCCGCTATCTCCTTAAAGTGTCGATCATTGGTGCCACTACGTTATATTGTGAAGGAAAATTTTCGCCTCGCTCCCATATGCCATACACTACAAAAATGAACTTCGTTTCAGAATATAACTCATGTGACTAGGTTTAGCAACGCACACAGCGAACTTTAGTCCGCAATGCGCGCTCGATCCGATTTAAAGAGATGGACTCAGTTTCTTTTTAAAACGTTCTCTTTTTCTTAAATTTCAGGTTAATTACATACAACTCAACGTATTATGAGAAGTATAACTTTTCTAGCTACTAAGTATGGCTTTTCTAAATTTTAGGCCCGCAAAATTACCGCACACTGAGGTCTTGACAAGTCCTCGGTGGACATTTTTTTAAGCTTGAAGGACTTTTGTCCACCGCGGGCAAAAGACCATCGTCTGTACAGGCTATACATATCTAAGTATATTAAATGAAGGTAAAAATAATAAAATTAAAAAATACAAAGAGGGCCAATCACTGATATACCTGGGGCCAATAATTGTACCTCGAGGGCGAACATTACATATACATTTGAAACTTTTCCTGTTCATTTTGAAATATTTTAATACATAATAATATTGAGCTTAAATAGGGTTTGATTATCAAAGACTTTATTTTGACAATCAAACCCTATTTAACAGCTTGTTGTGACAACATTTATTTGAAAACTAATAATTAATTTACTACAGACTAAGAAATGAAAAATTCCGCCTAAGGGGCCAATCATTATATAGTCTACTCTAATTTATTAAATATCCCCTTTTTGTCATCCCAATATCTAAGCGAATTCGTGGTAGGTAGTAATTGCATTTACTGTTGGTTTCGTCTTATATTCTATCCGCACTGACTGATTACCCATATATTGTGAGTATTAAAAGACATTAGATATATTGTGGCATGGCTATTTTATTTATTTCAAACTATTATCGTAAACAATAAAGACCCTACGTTTTATAAAAGTTTGTTAGGTACCCAGTCGTTTTATCCATACCTGTTATCGAACGTTCGTGTGATATCCCTTAATGGGAAAACATTGTAATAATTTCCTCTAACAATTCAACTAGACCACAGTACCAGGATTCCGTAACTTTATTTAGTTTTGGAAGGGTAAAGTGACCTAATTTTATTTTTTAGAATAGGCTGTATGATATTAGTATCGGTGGATTTACGAATAGAAGAATTAAAAAGTCAGGTCTAATGTTGCCACCTATATTTTTTTTTTACTTTATCTGACGAATTTATTGCTTACCTTTTGTAAAAAAAAAAACTGTGAAAATTATTTGTTAACGCGATTAGCGGACAAAAAAAAATGTATAAAAAAAAATATTGTTAACGTGCTTGCGTGTTTTCTTTTTTTTATTTCTTACTAAATGACTTAATTTCAAAAAATAGGTAGTTCTAGATTGAGCCGGTATGTTTTTTAATGTATGTATGTACACTGATTAAGTAAAGATTTCATTTGTCTGATGCAGAATATTTTCCATTTTGTCCCATTGAAATTAATTCAGTTTGGCCCAATAGTTTTTTTTTGTTTGCTTTATAGCACTACCCATGTATCCCTCAATAGAAAATGCTATTCTCAACTCGGGTGTATTAAATATCCACCACTTAAACTACACTCTCGTTGGTAATTGGTCACTTTCTCCCCTTAGTGAACAATGTAATTACTATTCTACACCTAATAAATCAAAGAAAAACAAAAGGTTGCATTTCAGGCAAAAAGATCTTATCATTTCTACTTTATATAATCAATAGCACAATCAACATTGATGTTCAGGTCAATCCCCGGATTGGATCTGTATTTTTCATTGCCTCACCTTAGTTACAGATACGATACGACAGGCAGCCCCAATAGCAGAATTTAGATAACATCGAATTATTTAATAAAGTTTAAGTAATTTTTTTGTTCTAGTATTGGCTTTATCTTTGTTTGTTTTGAAGGATTTCTTTCGATAATTCGGGAATTTCCCAAAATTCTTACTACTGTTTTGTCGTTATATAAAGAGAGCACGCCTTTTTTGTTGTTTTTGGAACGTTTCCTTTTCGGACGGCTAGGCAAAAATTAACCGTTACTACCTAGCAAAGCAGCCAGCTAGGCATCTAGCTGGGTACCTAGCTAGGCAACTGGAAGGGTAACGCACTCGTCCGCACTGGACCTATTCCGCGTTGGGATGTTTCGCACTGGGACCCTTACTCACTGGGCCCAGTGCTGATTGATGAGTAGAGAAACTTTTTTTATGGAATAAGGAGATTGGGCCATGACTCACTAAGCTGGCCCAGTGTGAGTTGGTGGGTGGTATATATATCTTTTTTATCGTATCTATTCGAAGAGATCTATATTGGTGTCGATTCTGACGTGATTCTCTAAACTTAAAACTAAATTTAACATCAGTCTCTCCTTTTCATTCTGTATAGAGAATGACAAGGATATACTGCTGTCAAATTTAAGTTTAGGTTTAGAGAATCATGCTAGAATCGACACCACTGTTCTCCTTACAGGTTACCAAAATAGCGTTTTAATCCCTAGTGAGCAAAAAATCTTTTTAATCCATAGGTTCTAAAAGTGATTTCAATTTGGAATCTGGATATTGTTCTTAAAAGTTCCATTCATCAAAGAGATCAACCACGAGCATTTTATAAACAAGTCATAGCGTAAACAGAGCGCACGCCAAATTGAAAATATAAGTTAAAAAAATACAAACGCACGAAATACCTATCTTTTAATGAGTGTGAATGAATATCTACAAAATCTTGATGATGTATAACTACAAAATTCTCTCTCTCGCCCATAAAATAGTTATTATTTTGCTCCCATGGTAAGCAATTTACTATTAACTTTGTTCTAAGTGAGTATTCCACGACACTCTCAATTATTTATTTTATTTGATATTTTGACACGTCTATCCGGAAAACATGTCTAAGTTTTAGCAGAGTTATTTGGCTAAATGAGAACAAATTCCAAAGCTTTCTACATGGTTTTAATGTTATTTAGATAATATCTTTCAATTTCAATAAACAGTAGATGTATGTATGTACTGTTTTATTTCTGTAACGCCTCCCGATTTTTTAAAATCAGACCTGGCGACACTGGTACTTATATTTCAGTATAATAATGAGGTGCTTCGGTATTTTCGTAAAAATTATTCTGGTCACACTGTCTAAATTGTCAATGTCAAACAGAATTCTGCGGCGACGCCAGCCGCGAAATTAAAATCCCTATCCTTACTGCAACAGTATTAATTATTAATGCTAAAGGTTTTTAATTTACAACAATGATCTACGGAAAAATACACAGGAACTTTCTGAGATCCATTGCTGGACGAGGTGTCTTAAGTTTACATGAAGCGACAAACCTTTTGAATACACTCAGTGGTAAATATTTTTTACAAATGTTATGGTAGGTCTTGTTGATCGCATTATCTTTACACAATAACTGCTCTTTTGTACATTTATTCCAGAAGGGGAAGTGCCTTCAGTACAGGACATAGTAAAGGATATCAATCATGAGATCAGGCCTTTTCAACAAGCCATAAAAATAACTAACGATGAACTGACTGATGAAGAAGTAGTGGTATTTCTGTCTTTAGGATATGATGATGCAACAAAATCACAAAATGTATTCAGTGCCACTGAGTTGGAGTACTTCAGAATATTAATCGAACACATTATGACAACAGAGGCCAGGCAAATTACTGGTATAAATGCAATGAACCTGGTTGGAGGAATGAAAGCATCTTTTACTAAAACAGATGCACAAGTGAGTATTATCATAGACAAAAAAAAGTTAAGAGTTTCAAAGTGTTAGACAAGTTTTGTATCACATTTTTTCTTAAATTTGTGTTGAACCTCATATCTACATTTTTTGTGTTAATATGGTATGTGTATTATTTTCAATGTTTTTTGTAACAATAGAAACCTATAATGTGTCTAATTTAGATTGTATTGGTATTCAAATATTGAAATCTAGATAAATGTGTAACACTTAAAACCTTGTTTTAAAATTTTTCAGAAACTTTTGAATACCTGGTGTCGAATGCGCTATTTAGATAAAGACCAGAACAACTATGCACTCGGAGTGAGGGCTATTCATGAATTTGAAGGATACCTTCGTCAGAATATGCCAGATACCATTGAAGAATGTTGTCTGTGCAAACAAATAGTTTTCAGAGTAAGCATCTTCTTTTAAAAATCTAAATTATATATATGCTAGATTGCGAACAAAAGAAAGACTGGATTCACCAGTTCATACTTTTCTGTGCTAATTCATATATCAACAGACAGTGCAAATTCAGAAATCATTCCAGGGAGATTGCAGTATTGTACCTTTCACCATTGTTTTTGGTCAACTTTGTAGACCTAACCAATGATGACAAAATAAAATGTATAATTTCCAAACTTTGATGCAAGGCATGTGTGGTATGAATGTAGATAACATTAACATCATCAGCTAATTGATGGTCACTAATTGACATAGACCTCTGGGATGATCTCCTGGATCTAGGGACCTCCACACACAATTATCTAGTGCTTACGACATATAATGTATGTACATACATACAAAGAAGCCATATATGTACATACATATATAGTTGTATTATATATCATCAATAATCATATAAAAGAATTTATTGCAAGATGATGGAAGCATTTTTGCCATCATAGTTTGAGATAAAATGATTTAAATAAAACTAGTTTTTACGGGTTAATGCACGAAAACTTTATTTATTTATTGACGTTTCGTAGCCTTTTTCGTGCATTAACCCGTAAAAACTAGTTTTATTTAATGAGTGATGTGCGTGAAAACCTAAGAAACAAATATAAAATGATTTCTGATAGTGTTGAACAGTATTGACAATATTTTTCTAAATATTTCAGGGTTTTAATTGCCCATCATGTGCACTGGCTGTCCATACAAGGTGTCTGAACAAATACCTAGAAAAGGTGGTGAAATGGCCTTGCTGCAAGACTGATTTTCATGTTTCACAACTTGAGAGACTTCATAGTGCAGAAAAGTGAGTTAAAAACTTTAAATTATAACTATCATTCAGTTTTTAAAAAGGTAAAATCATCAACCATTAATTGAAGTTCATACTAATGATAATGTCTATCCCTGAAATAGCAGTTTAGAATTTAGATATACTTACTATGTACAAGTAACTATTATTTGTAAAGTACTTTCATTCATTTGAAATAATCTGTATCTAATACCCAATAAATTATGAACATCTCACACTTCTAGAGGTCTCTCCTTTTCATTTCCTAGAGACCATGAGGTATATACCGCTGCCAGATTGGTTTTGTGTTTTTGTGAGTCCTGCTGGAGTAGGGACCATTAAATAAATAAATAAAATAAATATTTCCAACACTCAGACCGATTAGCCTAGCCCCAAAGTAAACACTGTAAGGCTTGTGTTATGGGATACTAGGGTAACAGATAAAATACATACACTGTACATATATAAGTATATTTTTATAGAAATACATATATGTCCATGATTGGAGTACAAATAACAAACTATTTGCGATTCATGTCACTATTACTAAAACACGTCCAATACAGCTGACTACCATTGAAGGTATGGTCACCTTAACTAAAGCTTTGCTGCACATAATCACATCACAGTTTTTTGGGTGAGCCGGTAAGTATTAGAAGTAAAGTGTAGTAATATTAGAATTTTGTAGTATAAAATATAGTTTGATTTTATAGATAATAGTCTAGGTTTGTTGTTTAAGTAGGTGAATGAGGCAAAACACAAGGTACAATACATGCAAACTAAGTTAATATAACACAAAAAAGGTACAGGCCAAGAGTCTGTAAACTTAAAAAAAGAACAGCTCACACTAATTATTTATTCCAAACTAAATAGAAATTGTATTGTGGACAACTCAATAACAGATATCATACATAAACTTAATATAAAAAAATCCTAGGTGGTTATGCTATAACCTGAGAACAATTTTACCAATTCTACCATCTTTTCCTTAATTTTTTTTTGAATAGCTTGTAGAAGAAATAAAAGGATGCTGTGGGCTTTTGGTTTTTTTTTTCATTTTATGGGGCTAAACAGAGTTAGTAAGTAAGTGGAGCTCGACGGCGCAGGTGGTTATCGCTTTCGGCTGCGATTGTTGAACTTAAGCAATTTTCGCAGGTCATTGGATGGGTGACCAAAAATTACTTTTTCGAGCTTCTTCATGCTTAGGATGTTACGTTAAGCCGTTGGCCCCGGCTGCATCTGTAGTCGTTAGGATCCAGTGCGGATTGCACTGGGCCCGCGGGGCCCAATCTCCCTATTCTATTCATAGGGGAAGGCTTGTACCGCTGTTACCAAACAGTTGGGACATTAAAAGGCTGATGATGATGATGAAACAATGTCTGCCCAGCTCCACTAGTTATGTATGAAAACAAACATGACTAAAAATTTTCCTCTTTATACAAATAAATACCTACACCAAGATTTAAACCTGATTTGATGTACACTGGTTATCAAGGTGTCCTCCACTGCCATCCTACAGAGGTCCTGGATTCAAATCCCAGTTGGGTAAATATTGTACGATAAATATGAGTAATTGTACTTAAATCACGTAAAAGCTGGAGACAGTAAATCTTTGGTCACCTGGGGGCCAATCGCCTAACTGGAAAACTTGCTTTGGAAAACGCTATCGCTTACGATTTCATTTTGTTATTGCTAGCCGCCTACGGTTTTCAAATGCCTCGCGTTTTTTTTCTTTTGCATTGGTAATAACATTGTTAAAGAAAATGAGCGTGAGGTATTTGAAAACCTTCGGCGGTTAGAAATAACAAAATGAAATCGTAAGCGATAGCGTTTTCCAAAGCAATCTGGTTAGGCGATTGGCCCACTGTCCTTTGTTTTAATGTTGGGAAAATGTGTGACGCATACCCCGCTCCTGGGTGGAAGACGGGATTATGGGACTCCTCCTCCCCGTGAATCCCGCCCAGCCCCGCTCAGCCAAACTGGCTCAGCGGCTGCTCGGGATGAAGGGGGGGGGGGGGGGGGGGGCTACCCACTAAAAATCTAGTCGCCTAGTGTGCGCCTACACTTAGGCATTCCCGGAATTCCCTCTCGACGACTGCGCAATGCGGACGACGGACCACCCTGTCCGCCGTCCGCTAGACAAACTAGGGTGGAAAGAGGCTGTCATACCGCCGCCTCCTTCTCTTTCTGACCTTAGATTAAAATATATTTCATATCAGTTCCAGATTATGTCAATCTCAGCGATTAGAGAATTCCCATGAGAACGAACAAAGCACTGAAGTCAACGAAACCCAGGAGTGTACCGAAGACATCCAAACTAAACAGGAGATCATTCCGGAGATATCACAGCGAGTCACGAGAAAGAGAAAGATGCAGTGCGAGTGAAAGTGGTATTAATAATTATTTTTTTACTGTAGTTAAAGGTAGAATCGTTGTTCCATTTGTGTTGAGTACTTTTGAAAAGGATTTTCTTGGCATGTAAAATAATGTCGTTTTTTTAACTTTGATTAAAGACACTATGTTTGGTTATATTTATATTATTTTATTTTTATTGATATTTTTCATACGAAAGTAGGTGAACAAGACGTATCATTTACATTATGGTCAAAATTAACCTCTAAAATAAGTGCAATAACTAATACTTTATTCAAAAGAAACTATAAGTTGTTAAGAACATTATGTTCGTAAAAGTATTATTAGTACAAACTTAAATTGGCAAACACAAATGCAATCATTCCTTTTTTTCTTTATTGTGGAAATAATTATTATTTTATATTTAATAAGAATCTCTTAGTTTACGTTTTTTTTTCTATATAATCATCTTAAAGCAAACATAATACCAAAACACAAAATGATTTTTAAGATCATGATTGAAATGACTGATTAACAATTGAGCAATTTATATGTATAGCCAAACAAACCAACTCTGCTATATAGGGTCTTTGATTTTTTTTAAATTGCTAAGTATACATTCTCAACTTTCCTTCTTACAATCTTAGCAGATGCCGGATAAAAGTCGAGCAAGTATTTCCATTGATCCAATTTCAAGTACACTATGTCGACAACTGTTCTCGCTCTAAAGGAGAAATGATGGGACACTCCGATAAACAGTCCCTGGAAACAATTAAATTTTTTGAATGCTTATCTATTAGTTAATGCGAAGTATGACATACAATAGATAGTGAAATATATAACAACCAAAGGCTATGTTGGCATCAACGTAACGTAATAAGTAAAGTATATTTTATTAGGTGTGTCCGTACTTATGTCAACGGATTTTAAAGCCGGTTGCTGTACACTTGGAACCATATATCTGTTATTACTAGCTTGCACCCGCGACTATGTCCGCGATCACGTCCGCGATCACTTTAGGTTTCTGAGAATGCAACAGGAACTTATAATATTGGTAATAATGTAAATATAAATGTGTCAAATTTCATCAAATCAGTTTTTGCGTGATTGTGTAACAAAAGAAACATATACAAACTATTATAATATTACAAGTGGCCACCCGCTTCTTCGTTTGCGTTAAATTTAGTTTTTTGGGAATCCCACAGGGACCTAATATTTATCCGGGATATAAAGTATCTGTTATCTCTGGTAATTTTTCATTAAATCCCCAGGTTATTAACAATATGCTTACCAAATTTCATCCAAATTCGTTCCGTAGTTTTTACGTGATTGAGTAACATACATAAAAACTTTCACATTTATATTATTAGTCAGGATAGTAGGAGGACATGTAAGAGGCAAAACATTACTGGTCTAGAACTGAGGATTCGGATAGAATAGATAAGATGAATTGATAATATTATAATTCCATTGCCATTTCAAGTCTTTACCTGAGCCACACCAAAACTGTCTTCGGGTCCCAATATATCGTAAATAGATTCTGTTAAATTTGGATGGACTGTTAATACTTCAACCTGAAACAGGTGGAAAAGCAATCTTTTCATTGAATATAGGTAATTGAAAAATTATAATATTTCGCATAATATTAAACTCGAAGAGATCAATTTTGTAGTGGTTACAGTCTTTCGGTCTGTGATTATCAAAGTTTTGCAGGCATTTGGCATCAATATGCCAAATGCCACTCTTTCCTAACTCAACTCTGGTGGCGGCCCTGACTATTGAGTCAGAGTTGTATTTAGGAAAGAGTAGTGGGCATTACCGGTAGGGTATAATAGGATTATCACCCCTCCAATTCAATCATTAAGTCGATATCGATAGTATTTTTAAGTTAGGGCTAAATAATTATGACACAGGTAGCGGCAAACTTCTTGAGCAAAACCACAGACAAATAAACTTGCACAGTAGACGTTGTTGTATGTAAAATTGCTACTGCGCAGGCTTCTTTGTCTATGGTCGTTGCTCAAGACGTTTATCCGGGTTACCAACCTCTCCTCTATGTATGAAGTAAATACATTGATCCGAATCTCCGCACTGCACGATATAATTTCCCGGGAAAAACACGCAGTGCTTTAACCACATGGCCAACATTCTTTTGAAGTCGTCGTCGGCCTTGCTGAATATTATCGATTCCCGTATGTGAGACCCGTATATAGTTTGCATTACTTGACAGCGTAATCGAAACGGCAGATGGTGGATTAAGTTTGGCATCTGTTGATTACAAGGATAATGACGATGTATAAAGTAGGTATTACCCATTTGCTTCGAGTTGGCCGTCGATGACCGTCACAAAATGTGTTACAGGCCAATCACAGGCACATCAACTCGTATCGTCGACCAATAGGGTCGGTATAGGAGCGGTGAAGCAGGAAAAGTGGGAGCGGCCAACTCGAAACGAACGCGTAGTATACAAAGTTACTTTTCGTCGGGAGATCCGCATACATAACCATAACATAGTTAAATGCTAGGAATAGGTTTAATAGCTAGGAACATCGAATAAAGTCGCATTTATACGAATAAAAAACCTATAAGTTATGATTATTTCACAACTAGCTCCGTGTTGTCAGGTTTCAAGTTTGAAAAAAATATCCGGCAGGATAACGAAATTATTTAAATTATTTTGTTTATTGACCTGTCTTGCGTGCTGCCTGTTCAACAATTCGCCGACGTAATCCCACATCTTGTTCATTTGGTGTTCGTTCAAGTCCATATCCCTGAGGCCGTCTCGCAGCTCGTTGACGCCGTAGTCGTAAGGGATATGGGATGACGAATGCGCCGTTATCATTGCTGACATTTGTGGGCATTTTAATAACTTGTATGTTAATTTCGTTTACAAACCTGTCGTCCTTGTTGCCTATTCCACAATTCGCGAACGTAATCCCACATTTTGTTCATTTGGTGTTCACTCAAGTCCATATCCCTGAGGCCATCTCTCAGCTCGTTGATGCCGTAGTCGTAGGCGATACGGGATGACGAGTGCGCCGTTAACATTGCTGACATTTCTGATATTAATAGCCCTGGAATGAAATTTTCATACAGCAAGGTTTAAGTGTGAATTAAGAAACCATTGCGTTTTATGTTAGTTGTGTAAAAATATCTTTGTCGTTGGCGGAGTAGGTATCATAGTTAGAAGTGCGTCTTACGGTAACAGATTACTTAATTTGAAATGAAATGAAAGTTTATTTGCATGAAACATAGTTTCTTACAGTTGGTAAATAATTTTTTTGTTGTTCTTCTTTCAACGAGAATTTGGAACAATAACATTTCGTCATCTGAGTATCTGTTCGGATGGTATGTACACACATACACGCTTGATCGCACTCGCTCATTACCTAGCGGGAAAGTATTCGTATCGCCAAATCAAAGGTTCTATTGAATCTAAACAGCGCCCCAACCAGATGTAAAAACAAACTAGCTCTTTCCATAGAAATTTTGATATAAATAAAGTATTCTGTCTGTACTGTACTTATTTTTTATGTCCGGAAAATATGTCTGAGAAAAATCTGCCTAATAGCCGATCCACCGCGCCACATATACAGTCAGGTCATAAGTATTGTCACACAGTAATTTTTTTTTCTTATAGAATGCTGACCAAAAAAAAGTTTATTGAATTCGGATTTCGACTTTTTCATGAAAATAAAAATGTGTACTTTTTAGAATTTTACTCATTTTTAAATATGGAGTGGACGCTTAAAGAAGACCGTGTTGCAGTTATTGCGTTGCATCGTTGCGGTTACGCGCCAATTCATATTTTTGACATACTGAAAATTTTGAATATAACCAAAAGATTCGTTTATCTGTTAGGACTCCAGCAGTGATAAAAGCTGTGAAGGCGCGACTTCAAAGAAATCCCAAACGTAGGCAGAAACTGTTGGCCCTTCAGATGGGGTTAAGCAGAACCACGGTGAAAAGGGTGTTAAATGAAGACTTAGGGCTTCGGGCATATCGAAGAAAAACAGGACAACGTTTGAATGTTCGTCTAATGGACCTGAGACTGAAGAGATGCCACGTTTTGTTGAAGCGGTACTCGAGAAAAAAATAACGGGAAATTCTTTTTTCGGATGAAAAAAATTTTACCGTAGAAGAGAGCTTCAACAAACAAAATGATAAGATGTACGCACACAGTAGTGAAGAAGCGAGCAACCGTATTCCGCGTGTCCAACGAGGTCATTTTCCACCCTCGCTCATGGTATGGTTGGGAGTTTCTTATTGGGGCTTAACAGAGGTACATTTTTTGAGAAAGGTGTAAAAACGAATGCAGTTGTGTATCAAAATACAGTCCTGACGAACCTTGTGGAACCTGTTTCTCATACCATGTTCAATAACAGGCACTGGGTATTCCAACAAGATTCGGCGCCAGCTCATAGAGCGAAGAGCACTCAAGACTGAAATCGAGCGTGAAATCGACTTCATCCGGCACGAAGACTGGCCCTCCTCTATTCCTGATTTGAATCCGTTAGATTACAAGATATGGCAACATTTGGAGGAAAAGGCGTGCTCAAAGCCTCATCCCAATTTGGAGTCACGCAAGACATCCATGATTAAGGCAGCCGCCGATATTGACATGGACCTCGTTTGTGCTGCGATAGACGACTGGCCGCGCAGTCGCGAGGCCTGTATTCAAAATTACGAAGGTCATTTTGAATAAACTTTATTGTCATAAGAATCTATGTTTTGTTAAGTTCATTTTGGTATATAAATGGTTACATAATGAATAAACTTGTTTCAGTTATTTTACATTAAACATGTGACAGAATTTATGACTGACTAGGTAGATGGACGCAACACAACGTATGCGATGCGCTCCGTACTGCCCCGGCCCGCCATAACCGGATCTGCCGCTAATGGATAGCCTACCTTTAGACGTGGAACCACTTGTCAGACTGAGATCGTCTGTATGAAGTTTTTGGCGCGAATTAATCGAGCGAGCATTAAATTGATCCATAGACTATGACGACATACTTGATATGACAGATGAGTAGACCTTTCGACACAGTGTTGCCATCTGCCGCCCGTCATTCCAGAAAACTCTTATTAAGTGAGATGTAGCGTAACTTGTTTATTTTAAGATAAGCTCCAGAAAGTATAGTGACATTAATAACAGG